TATATATATATATATATATATATATATATATGATATAATACGCACTGTGGAATTAAAAGAGAATGAGAAATACTGGCTAATCACTTAGCCTCTTTGACTAACACCAGGTTACACCTGTATTAGGCTGCTCCAGTGGGCATCCCTAGATGGCATAATCAAATCAACACATAATAGAAGGAAACAGAATGTCTCCCTGGATCAGGGAACAGTGAATTACCCATAGATTAGTTAGTGATATTAACAAATCTAAAGAATGTATCATCAAAAGAGGGAATGCTACCATGGAATTTAGGTAAATGGAAAATCAACAGAGAATTTAGAATGTGAGTTCAGCACTGTAAAGAGAAGAAATGCTAAATCTGAGAGATATGAGAGCAGAAATATATTTTAACTGAGGACAAGAACATTTAGTGGTCTCATCATAATTCAATGAAATTGCTTAAAGATTATCTGACCTCCTTTTAATCTAATTCATAATTACCAAGTGGCTATTCTATTACTAATTTAGCTCTCCAAGTAATGAGAAACTGGGAAAGGGAATGACATTCTGGTCTATACATCAGTTGTTTTTGAGTTTCATTGGCATTGGTGAGTCTCTCTGGATGGATCAATTCTGGAGCACTGTCAAAATTAAATTACTGGCCATGTCAATATGTCACTCTTGAAAATCAGATAGTCAATATTTCTCTGTGAATCTCCTTGTCTTTTCATATGATCATTGCTTAAGAAAAATTAATCAGGACCAATATATCAATTAAGATTGATTTACCATGTTATACTTTGTAAAAAGAAAAGCATATAGCATATACAGGGAATATACTACTTCATAGATAAAAAATTTATCCAGTCTATTATCTACTATGTAAATAATCCTACAGCACAAAAATATTCAAACCTGTAGATGAAGAATTTGAAATGGTAGTATAAGTCACTTATCCAAGGTCATGTACCTAAAAGAAGTGGCCAATATAGGACATGAGCTAAGGTCTCCTAACTTCAAATTGAAGTTTTATTATACCACAGCTTTACATGCTCTATTCTGAATGAAAGCACAGAAATACTACCTATTTTTCCATAGACTGTTGGTAGTACTTCCTGAATATCATGTGACTTGTGAATTTTGACTTCTTTTGACCTTTTAGTTCCAAGGTGAAAAGATAAACTACAATTTATCAGACAGAATGAAAGAACTGGGTAGCTCTCAGAAACATCAATGGGGGGCGGGTACTACAGAATCTTGTAGCTGTAGCAGGGGAGAAAGGATGGGATACCTGGAGTCCATTTTATGAAAAATATGTTAGGTTTTGTGGGGAGAAAGGGAATGTAGTCTTGTAAAGGAAGTGGAGTGAGAGAGGAGATGATGGTGGCCAGCCAATAAGGAAAATCATGGAGTGGGAATATAAAAATCACAAAGGTCACCTTTTTTTGAGCAAGGAGTGAGAGAGAAGAATGAAGAAAGGAAGAGAGTGGGACTGGTATGATGTACAAACTATATCAATTAGGAATATTATGAGGGGACATGTAATGAGCAGTGATAGAAAATTGGAATCTATCTATTGCAAGAGGAGTTCATTTTGGATATTAAGCAAATTTTAATTTGAAAAAATAATTCCCACCACAAATTAGCTCTGCTTCTTCTCCTCTACACCGCCTACCTCTAAGCTTGCTCAAAGAGACCTCTGTAGAGATGCAAATCACCAATCTTTGTTTTCTTACTGTCTTACATCAATTATGAATAATTAATAGCCAGTGTTATGTTGAAAGCAATACAATTTTTTGTTACTCTGAAAATCAGTTTCTCTTTCATTTTAGGGCATTAATTGACTTAATCCAAAATGTTTTTATCCTGTTATGTTTATTTTATGATATAAATGCTATTCTCTCTTTCCCCCCTCTTTCTCCTACAACCGCCCGCCCCCCTCACATTTTTCTCTCTGGTCAGAACAGCTTTAACTGTTTTCAAAGTCACTTAATGGAGATTTTACCATCAATTTCTATGTTATTTACAGAGTAGAATTTATATTAGGTAGATGGGAAAATTCAGCAGCAGAAACAATTTGTGCTCCCAAGAAGCAGACACTTTATTCAGCAGTAAATTTATAGAAGAAAACTATGGTGTGAAAAGTACCTTTGTGATCTTGGAGTCCATTTTATAAGAAAAAGTCTTTGAAAAGTATTACATAATGATGGGTGTTTAAGTTGAAAACTGTGGACCTAGGCTCCGAGACTCAACCTGTATTCTTTGATCAGGCAGTCACATCAAAAGGGAAACATCTATCCTATAATCAGAGGGGAGAATTGCCATCACCCAAATAACACTTGGCTTTTCTTTTGTCTTCTGTTTTCAATTGCCATTTTGTATCTCAGCAGGAGCTATATTTCTAGGGACATTCCCTGACTGCGAAGCTGAAAGTCATTTTATTTGGGCTGTACTTGTATACTGTTCATGAGGATAGCTGTAGTTACAACAGCAAATATTTATGGGATGGGATTGTAACTTTTTCTAGGCACCCAAAGTACAAGTATAGTTTTTAAAATTTTCTTACTTTGAACCTAGCATGTGTGAGGCACTAGGTTCGATATTTAGCACCACATTAAAAATAAAACAAATAAAATAAAGACATTCTGTCCATCTACAACTACAAAAACGTTAAAAAAATAAAGGAAGTCTGAGGGAACTTGTTTACCTCTTTTGCCATGTGAGTACACATAAAATGCACCATCTCTGAGGAAAGGGTCCTTGCCAGACACCAGATATGCTAATACCTTGATTTTGAATAGCCCAGCCTCCAGAATTACAAGCAATACATTTGGTTATTTATATATTACTCAATCTAACGCATTTTGCTGTAGCAATCAAATGAACTAAGTCACAAATTGGTACTGAGAAGTAGGAAGCTACTGTAACAAATACCTAAAAATGTGGAAGTACTTTTGGGTAATGGATAGAGTTTTGAGGTCCATTGCTATGAAAGGAGCCTTGAGAGATTTGGGGGAGGGCTTAGAATAATAGTTCTGTAGGGAAATCCTCAATATTCTTAGATATTACCTAAGTGGTGTTGATTTGAATATTGGCAGAAATATGGGTGGTAAAGGCCATTCTGATATTCTCTTATATAAAAAAGATGACTGGATTCTTACCACACATGAATCTAACAGTGCCTTAATTTTGGACATTACAGCCTTCAGAGCTGTGGGAAATAAAGTTTCTGTTCTTTATAAATTACTTGATCTTAGGTAAATTTTATGGCAACCTGAATACACTAAGAAAACTTTCTGTATACTTTGAAGAGTTAGGGCATAACAAGAAGATTGAAATGAAAAGAGGTATTCAGTGATATATCTCTGTTTTGTGGTAAAGATCTTTTTTTTTCTTTGCAGAGAATGAGGAATAATTATGAGAATTTCTTTAGCTTAAGTTCAGAGTCTTGGCATACCAAAAAGAAAAACATTTAGGACAGACCTTGTACCGAAATTTAGTTGTACTTACTGACTAATGTTTCATCTAAGAATAAGACAGTGGTAAGTGTAGGTTAAAGATGCATAGGTAAAGGGCATCTTGTTTTTTTACAAAATCTGACCCTGTTAATTGTGTATGTTGGACATGAGTTTTCATTTTACAAAAGGCCTTTTTTAGTTTATGAATGGATTAATCACTTTTCTTCTCATATTGATCACTTAGAAAATTTAAGATGTTTGACTTACAGATCATTAAGAAGTTATTGTTCCATAAAAAGCCATATTCATATTCTAGTTAGAAAATCTACAGTCAACAAGGTCAGTCTATGCTGAGATAATACCAAAAAGATGTAACTCCAAAGGATATGTCTGAAGTTTCTCAAGACAACCAAAACTTTGGTCTGACTAAAATAATTAGGGTAGAATCATATGTATTTTTGCTCTTCTTTGGGGTTCTACCATATTTTTGAGAGCTGCTAATAAGATGAAATGAGAAAAGATTAACTGCATCCTTTTGCAAGGATGAAAAAGTGAAAAAAAAAATAAATGTTACCTAGAATGGAGAGGGTAAACTGGTGTACTGTGAGTGAAAAATTGTTTTGTTGGAGTTCACAATGTTTCAAAAAATGAATATTAATATTTAAAAATGAAAATGTTTCATAATCAGCCTTTCAGCTTCTTGAAAACTTTCAAGCTCTCATATACATGAACCCACATTCTAGTAAGCATGGTAAAAATCTTCTAGAACAAAATAATGGTTTCCCTCTTTAAAGCAAGAGATGTTTTCTTTAATCTATGTTTTTTTTTTTTAATCTGGCTGTTTAAAAAACATTCTCTAACTGCCTAGTCCCCGAGGACTTTGAGTTTTCAATACAAAACATGGAAAGTATAGGTGGACATAGTGGGACACAAGTGTAATCCCAGTGGCACAGGAGACTGAGGTAGGAGGATTGCAAATATCAAGCCAGGATGGCCAATTTAGGAACATCCTTCTCAAAACAAACAAATAAACAAAAGAGGGCTGGAGCTATAGCTCAGAGGTAGAATGCTCCTAGGATTAATCCCTAACACTACACACACAAAAATAAGAGAATAAAAACTTGGAAAGTAAAAATTTTTGAAAGGAAAACATGTATTTTGGTAAACCAGGGAAGACAGTAGTTAAGACAAGAGCACAGATCAAATTTTCTCTGTATTAATCCTTTTATCTTTCTCTTACCCCCACTGTCCTGGTCCTCTGTGAGGAGAGTTTTCATCCAACAAATATTTTTGAGCACTTATTGTTTTTTATATACTAGGGGTAAAATGATATATAAGGCTCATAAAGTCCCTGTTCTCATGCTATTTATTTGTAGCGGGGGAAGAAGAAAAGAAGCCAACAAATATGTAATTATAATATCAAATATAATGAAAACAATAAAAAGAAATCAGGCAAGTTAGAGAAAAAATAAAATTAAGCTAATTATATTTCATAAATGGTTGCCAGGGAAGACCTAATGAGTAGGTAATATATAAGAAGACAACTGTGTGAAATAAGGGAGTGAGTCATGGAGATAGCTGAGGAAAGAGTGTTTCTGGAAGAGGAAATAGCCTGTGTAAAGTATTTGAGGTGGGACTGTACTTAATGAGCATGAGAAATAGAAAGGGGGCTAGTGTGTATGATGATTAAGACAGAGTGTTGTAGAAAGTAAGAGGAAAAATAAGTAGATTGTGAAGTGCCTTATAGGTCATAGTTCAGGTTTGGGATTTCATTCAATTTGTGCTGGTCCATCAGAATACAGTGGGGGCAGTGATGGAAGTGATCAGATTCTGGATAGGCTTTGAAAGTAGAGACATGGGATTTTTTGATGGGCTCAATACAGGATGTGGGTAGAGAAAAGGTAAAGTGAAGAATGACTTCACAAATTTTGGCCTGAGCAACCAGAAGGATGGTGATGGAGATAAAGAAGGAGACTGAAGGACGAGATTTGTAGAGGGGAGAAATTGGAAATCTTGTTTGGGGAAAGCAAAATTTGATATGGATACTAGATCTCAAAATGGCATTGTTGAGCAGACAAATTGATATACAAGTTTGGGGTTCAGGTGAGAAATCCTGGCTAGTGATATAAATATTGGAGTTTTCATCATATATGGTAAGCAAAAACATGATGGAGGCTGAATGAAATTACCTGGCCAATGAGCAAGGAGACCTGAAACCTGGGAACCCCAATATTTAAATACTAGAAGGATGAGAATTGATATCATCAATTATTCATAATTTTAGATAGGTTTACTTGTAGAAACTATAGGAGGTAGCAGAGTTTTACAGAGTGTCTTATTTGACAGAATCAGATTTCTAGAAATTTTATGGATTGTTGTTTGTTGTTTTACTTATTAAAGAGTGATGACTTTATTTGAAAACTAATATAAGACTATGCCTGTCTCCACTGGCTAAATTATAGTACCCTCAATATTTTTCTTAATTGGAGGTTTCTAATTGTAACACTACATATCTTTTGTGAATTTTTTTCTTAATATTTAATGTATGGCTTTCTTTGCATTCTTACCTCCACAAAGACTACAAGCTCCACAAGACTTGTGGGATATCTATTTTATTCAGCAGTCTATTCTTCACAATAAGCATGGTGCTTGCTATACATGAATCCTCAATGACTAAATATAATTTTAATTATTTATTTGACCAGAATATATTCAAGGTACCTATTAGTGGCCAGATACTGCCTAAATTGCTAAAGGTACAGAAGTACAGCAGCATCTCTGGCTTGGAGAATCTCTGAACATGAAATAAGACTGAAATGGACAGGAACGAAGTGATCTTTGCTATAAGGTACCTGGACATGGTCAGTGCCTGCCCTTCATGTAGGTGGACTAAGTGGTTTCCTAATACATAGGAGAACATAGGGGGAATTATGCAAGTTTCATATAATAAAAAATTATTTAAGCATAATAAGTTTCACATCCATTATATCATTATCATTTGAACTCAAAGTAAATCAAGAAGGTAGATATTATAACCCCTATTTTACAGAAGAGAAAGCTAATATTCAGGAATCATAATCAGACAAAAAAAATCCTACTGAACCATATGGCTGAACCTGGATCTCCTGACTTTACTTTCTGTATTAGACTCATTTATACTTAAGTACTCCTTTATTTTAAGAAAGAATCAAGTACAATAGAGTTAAGAAATGGTGCTAGAGAGAGAGAAGCATTATTCTTGGAATAATGACACTTCTCATTTTCTTCCAGAGCTTCTGGTCATGCTCAAGAATTAAGGCTGGCTGGAAAATAGAAATTCCATCCTGGCCAGGATGTACAAATGGTGACCTTGCTGATTGAATTGTTCTTTTGCTCTATAGCCTAGGCAACAAGAACACTGATTGAGAACATTTGTTCTGCTACATTTACAAAACTTTTGCCAGATGCACACACAAAGTATTTAGCCTCTTGCAGTAATCAAGAGTCATAGCAAGGTAAGAGCCAATTTAGAAACTTCTTTAGCTGCTGAGATTGTTCCTAGGTCTGTAAATTTAGAGTTTCTTTTCTTTGTCCTTTATAAACATTTTATCCAACCTAGACCTGATTCTAGATAGGGATCTCTATAAATGCCAAATTATTTAGAAATATATTGACCTATGAAAGGCCTCTTAACACCAGGTTATATTACAAAATATAGCTTATAAACTTTATGTTAATAATTGAAAGGTTATAGGACACTATTAATTATTTTATTTAAGTTTTAGTCAGAAAATAAACAAGCAACTTTGTTTTTCATATGGTTTTCAAATTTTTCATACAATTCCTATCATTATATTTAAATAACATAAGATATATGAAGGTGAAATACAGACAAAATATTGAATGAATCTGTGGATTCCATTTAATGTAACATGATTATAATCAGGTACATTTCATCTCAACTGATTTAACATATAATAATGCTTAGTTTACTTATTTATTTCCTAGTGATACTGAAGATCATAGGCATTTTATGTAAATGAGAAATATTGTTCCTTGAAGACACAAAATGATTAACAGAAATTGATACTCTATGATACAATAAAGCCAGAAAACATACAACTTTAAACTATTAAACATACAACTTTAAACTATTTGTGACTAAACAAAATATAGTTATAGCTATAAAAATAAGTACCCTTTTTACGTAGAAGAACACTGGCGTGTTTCCGTCCATTTCGGTTTTCTACATGGCAGGTATAATTAGCCAGGTCAGCCTCCACCACTGAATCAAAAATGAGTGCCAACTCAACTTCTTTTTCTCCAAGATGCTCTTTGAGGAGTCTGAAATAAAGACAGTATTCTTGTTTTAATCAGTTTGTATTGGGTAGAAAGCATCCATGTAGTCTACAAATCGTTACACAATCCTCCCATCCTAAGTCTATGATGGCCACAAGAGAGTTTTGCCTGGATGTATGTGTATGTGGACCCTCAAATAAGAAAATACAAAAGTGTATCTTGACTGAAGGACAAATAAGAAAGAAGTGAGGAACTCAGTAATACAAAATATTAGCATGATAAATGAAGCCAACATGGTTTGTGTGGCAAAAAAAGATGGAACATTAGCTTCCACATTCTAAACTGATTTTATGAGAACTAATTGGATACTTTTATATTATGATATGAAGGAAAAACAAATTTTTAGAAGTATAGGTTTTGTTATTAGAGGTCAGAGTTTTAGGCAGTAAAATGGTTGCCATATGAAAAGTAAACCAAAGATGCTTAATGGCCTTCAATTTTCAAATATCAGTGAGAAGCTTTTTCTCTTGCTTGTTGTTTAATGCACTAATGTGGCAGGCTCCCTAATCTCCCCAGTGATGCTCATCCCACCTCTACCTTGGCCCTGATTTCTCCAGACAATGTTCCACAATTACCCTTCTGCTTTGCCAACTCACAGGAAGTAACATGCTTTATGTGACATTCAGGTTTTTGCTTTCTCAAATGAAGTTGCAAATGGTGTATAATAGCCAGGAATAGGTATTCTTTGCAGAGAAGTTGATTTTCCAGAACTCTTTTTTCAGGGGTGCAGCTTTTGAGTATTGAAGGGTTATATTCTTACTAGCAATGTATTACCTCCTGAGCAAGATGAAACTGGGTACCCTACTGCCTTTTCTTTATTCTGCTGCCTTTTTCCAAAGAGGGAGCCAGTCATGTGACAAAGTTGTGGCAATCCTGCATTTTGGTTCTAGTACATGTCCTTACATACACAGATTTGTAAGAATAAAATATTTCATATGAAATGGGGAACTGAAAGTAATTCTTTTTTGTTGTTGTTTTGTGCTGTCTTGCCCTTTATTTATTTATTAATTTTTTATGTGTTCTCTTTAGTTACACATGACAGTAGAATGTATTTTTCTTATCTTCATTGTGGACATATGAATATGAGTGTAGGGAGGAACCCTGAGTTATCAGTACTGTGCATAAGTTGGAAAAGGCAATTGTGCTCAGGAAAAAGCTGGGTTCTAAATACAGGCCTCTCACTGAAACTCAAGCTGGATCCTTAAAAAATCATTAACTAAATTTTGCTTTAATTTAACTCATATTTAAGTTGGAGAAAAAAACTCATATGCTTAATTTTGTTGTGAGAATGAAATGGGTTAAAGTGATTTGAAAAGTAAATAGCACTCTACAGATGCAAAGGAATGTTATTGAATATAAACATTTCATTATCTGAAGGTAGATTATTTAGATTTTGACTTCTACAAAAATATTTGTACTTATACTTATTGATATTTCGGGTTGACTTGGCTTAATATCTTCTGGCTTTTGAGAGAAGGAAGGGCTTAAAGTAGGGTTGGTGGAAGAGAGTTTCCAGACACTGAGAATCTCCAGTGAAATCTTAAGTCCAAATTTTATTTATAGTAGACATGCTTTTAAAATTAACTCTGTTTCTGTTTTCTTCCAACAATGTCCATGCCTGAGAGTTTAGAATACTAGCATTTGTAGTTCAATTAAGTCTTCTCTTGTCCACGACATTTATGTACTGTCACTGTACATAAAGCGAGTATAAGGTTTTCTTAACTGATTTTTTTGAGACAGAGTCTCACTAAGTTGCTTAGGGCCTCGCTATGATGATGAGGGTGATCTTGAACTTGTGATCCTCCTGTCTAGCCTTCTGAGCTGCTGAAATCTTAACTGAATATTTGAAAGTACATTTTACTGTTAGTCTTTCTGATAAGTGTTTTTCTTTCTAACTAAAGTTATAGTTTCCCCTTTCTCTATTTTTTCCTCAAGGAAAAACTGGGAATTTACTATCTTCAGGTTTACATTGATTTGCTCCCTGCATTTCCTCCCTACTACTGATAAATCTCATAATATTCAATTATTTTAGCTCTATATAACCTGCAATGGATAACCCTCCTGTAGTTCCAGAAGCTGCTTAGGCACCACAATTTCAGTTTGATTTAAAGCTTCACAGGGAAGTCAGCCACAACCTCTGCCAAACACAGGGCCGAAAGCTGATCTTGTTCCTCACGACCAAACCTTTCCCTCTGCATTTCTAATGCAGTTTCCAAAAACAGCTCTTCACAAGCTACAGAAAGAATTTGGAGAGAGGATTTGAAAAATGATCCTTGGTCCATCTATTAATATATATGAGGTGTCTTAATTATCAGCTCTTAAAAACCTAGAGGTGACTTGCTTTTTTGGAATTACATAGCAGGTTGGTGTTTATGTCTACAAATCACTCTGCAGAGCAGTCATAATTTCCTACCAAATATTGATATATAACAATCCATCAATGATTCTTTGTCAGTTTCTAATAAGTGTCTAGCTATGGGTGAGATATTTGGTATAAGAGAAATGTAAACTTTAAAAATCCTGGTCTCTGACTCCATTAAGCTTTAAAATTCAAATGAGTAGATAAAAGTAAAACAGTTGAAAACATAGGAAAAGTGAAGTAAAGCAGGGTGATACAGTCATGCTTATAAAAGAATTTCAAAGGAGGAAGATACTGTCTAAATTAGTTAGAAAAGACTTAAGAAACTGGGTAGACAAAAGGAAATGTGGGGAGTTTTCTATAAGAGAAGATAGGAGCATGTTTTTTGCAAAATGCATGAAAGAGAAACACTAAAGAAATAGGTGTTGAATGGAGGATACAAGTGAGGGAGTCCTGGGATGTATTTCAAATGACTTCAGAAATATATCATTAAAAGGCTTTACATAGGGTGGGGAGGGATGAGCCACATACATTTGAATTTATTTTATTTTTTAAAAATATTTTTGTAGTTGTAGATGGACAGAATGCCTTTATTTTATTTGTTTATTTTTATGTGACGCTGAGGATCAAACCCAGTGCCTTCCATGTGCTAAGCAAGTGTTCTGCCTCTGAGCTACAGCACCAGCCCTTGAATTTATTTTTAACAGCTTCTTTAGGGTATAATTGATATACTAAAAAATTGCACATATGTACTTGACACAGTTTGGTGAGTTTTGGACACATGCATATATCCATGGGGATGATATGACAATGAAATAGTCCAATAATTAATATTTAAAGCAACTTACTGTAGTAGTGAACAAGGGAAAATAATTTGGGGGGACAGAAATTGCTACTTTCAAAAGTAAGTTTAGGGGCTGGGATTGTAGTTTAGTGGCAGAGCACTTGCCTAGCATGTGTGAGGCACTGGGTTAGATCCTCAGCATCACATAAAAACAAATACATAAATAAATAAAACAAAATAAAGATATTGTGTCTATGTGAGAAAGGGAGTGACAATTTCCATACTCTTTCTAGTATTAGTTTTTAACCAATTGTTCTAACTAGAGTGTGGAAATCGTCACTCCCTTCCTCACACAAAAATATATTGAACTAATGGAAAATTATCAACTCTTCTTAGATTCATTAGGTAATTGAAGTCACAGGACAAACTCCTGCCCACTGTGTACTTGTATTAAAATCTCAAGAGTTTGTGCCAGTACCAGCAGAAACACTTAGATTACAATCGAATGCAATGAGTTCATGTACTGACTCATCGTATTGTATTTCATTAATATGTACCATGTTTATGTTTTTATGCATAAGTTAGGACAAATTTTTTAAAAAAATGAAATTGATTAATTTCTAGAGGCTCATTGTGGTTGAACTTAAGAATTTAAAACTCCATGGTACATAATCTTAGAGACCTCACACTTTCATAAGTTTTGCCTAGAGCCTAGAGGAGCAGAACCAGTTCTCAGGGTGAAAATTAGATAAAGGTCCCCTTATGCTTCAGGCAGGTAGAAAGGAAAAGGTAATCATTTAAAAAATGAGCCCAGAACATTCTGTTCTCCTTTTCAAAAACCTGCCTTCAGGGGAAACTAGTTTATCAGAACCTAAACTATTTAAAATTTACCAAGGCCTAACCTAACAGGGAAAAGCGAAACACCCAACTTCAGGCCCCTCTAGCTTTCCCGTGTTACCTAAAGGGAGGTGAACCTGAGAAACATTTATGATGATAACAGTCCAGGGGGATAGGCTCATTAAAAGACTGAAACTTCATCATAGAATTATGGAATGATTGCCACCATCTCAATCAGACTCCTATGTGATAACAAACGACTTTAGCTGAAATAATTGCAAAGCTCAGACCCTGTTTAAGAAACCATTTCTAGCAAAACAGTGGAGACAAAAACTAGGACACCAGAGGAAATTTTATTCTTTGATACTTGCAGCTATAATGAACAGCAAACATAGCCTAACCCTTAGCCAGATAAAAAGAAAGTCTCACATTAAAGGCCTATTAATATCAGTTTATTTAATCCAATACATTTTTATCTGATTTCAACAAGATCAATGGCAACAACAACAATAACAAAATTGCAAAGCATGCAAAAAAGCAACAAAATTAAGCGACAAAAGCCCCTATAGATATATCAGAGACTGAAAATATAAAAAAAAATCTATGATTAATTTTAAGGGCTCTGATGGAGAAACTGTACAATATACATTAATAGATAAGTAATAGAACAAGAGAGATGAAAATTTTAAGAGTCAAAAGTAAATGCTAGAAATTAAAGCACTGTACAGAAATGAATAATGCTTTTGACAGACTGTAGATGAGAAGTAGCCAAAGAAAGAATCAGTAAACTTAAACATATGATGACAGAAATGCTGAACTGAAATGCAAAGAGAAAAGGAATGAAAAAGAGTGTAACACAATATTTAACTTTAAAACATCAAAGACAAAAAAGTCTTGAAAGACACCAATAGAAACAAAACAATGACAAAATACTTTATATACAGAGCAATAGCATAAAAGCAATATCAGATTTTTATTTAAAAACAATTTGTAAAAGAAGAATTT